TCTAAGTTTCTGTACAATCATAACAGATTGGCTGACTACCTTATCAACTTTATTTTGTCCACTTAATGAATCCGTTTGCTGCCAACTGGCCAAGGTTATGCACACAATCAGAACAGATACCCATCACTACGGTACCCTTCACAGCTCAAGAGGCATGTTGATATTCAATCCAATTTAATCTAGATTAATTTAGAATGTGGTGCATAATACTAGACTCTGCTAGCTGATTAATTAACTTATCAGCATCTTCCATAAAAACAACTTTAATATATCATTGCTTCTCCAGAATATGAAGAAACCAAGAAACCACGTTTTTTTAAGAAACAACTATATTCAACTGGCATCTCATTGGGAGATTCAAACTATTTTCAAATTCACCAAGTCTGCGAACAAAAGACAAAGAATTCAAAATGAACTCAGTAGCATTTCTCATCATGTTCTCACAAGACCAAATGTCTTCCTGTATGCCAACAATTGTCTCATGTGTGGGTTTTTATTTCCCCTATTTTAGAAGAAACATCTGGGACAAAGTTCATACTTAAAAATGTAACACATCTGAGAGCCAAATGAATTCTCTGGAGCGATGAATGAGCAAACTCTGAGCAATACAATGCTCTTCTGGGGTCAGTATATGGGCACCAAAATGCTATTCATCTTACAGTTCAAGCAAATAAACTGAGCAAAATAAAAATGAATGCCTAACAATCAGGCAGTATCTAATTCCCGCTAAAAGTTGCAAAATATTTCTTGAATTACAATCTCTCAAGTTTTTGTAGCTTTGCACAATAACTCTATTGTGATCTACCCTTTCATCTCACCTGTTTATCAGGGTAATGGTTAGACTATAAACCAGTTGGTGATGTCTCTAGAATCGCACGTGTTGCTCTGTGACCTTGCAGCCCTGGCGTCGAGCCACTGTACAGTATAACCTTCAGTAGTTGCAGTAAAGTGGACTTGTAAACAGAGCTAGCTCATATAGCTGTCACACACTGTCGGCCATGACAAGAAATGTTTCGATTTCATGAGTGACGCTTTGTACTCCACTTATTTTTTTCTTTTCCAGAACCCATATAGATCCTTCATTCGCGGCTGGTATTTTGATTGTGGTTAGTTTCGTATTTCCACAGCATCATTTTTAATCATAGTGTTTTTGTGTTGGTGGCCAAAACTATGGTTACTGTAAATATTTTGACCATGTTTGGCATGTTCACCTACATTTCATTTCTCGTATCAAAACAATTCCCGGTTATTTAACCACAGCATGGCAGGTAGACGATAACTAATCTTGTGGTTGAATTTTAGGTTAGCGCTAGATTAACATCGGTGGTGTAGTGGACTTATGAAATGAGGAGCCAAAGTATACTCTCTGCATTTAGGTTTTTTGTAAATTCATGTTACACATACAGTACAACACAATTTTATCTTCTAACATTAAACATTAAGTTCAAGTCAAATCAAATTCTCAAAGTTTTTTTGTTGTTGTTGTTGTTTCAAAAATAATTACAATAATGCAGTAACAAAAGCGACTAAAACCTAAAACCTGTTAGAACATTAGTCAACAAAACTATTTGTGTAGCTGAATAATGGCATCCTAAAAAATAGTAAGAAGCGAAAATCGTTTCGATAATATTAAGAAATATTTCTTGAGCAGCAAATCATCATATTAGAATGATTTCTGAAGGATCATGTGACATTTAAGACTGGAGTAATGATGCTGAAAATTCAGCTTTAATAACAGGAATATATGTATTTAAAAATGTATTTAACTAATATTTAACAATATAAATATTTTTACTTTCTATTTTTATAAAAATGAATGCAGCCTTGTTGTGCATAATATACTTTTTTTTTAAACGGTACAGTGTACACACTACAACTAAAAATATTTGCAGAATCTTTGGTAACATTTTTACATTGACAGAAAGATGGTGGAATTGCTTTACATACTATTTGATTGCATGTTTTTTTCTTGAGATTTTTTTTTATTAAATTCTTTTGACAAGCCACTACCTCTCTTTCCACTGGAGAAAAACTCACCTGCTCAGCAAGTTCTTTTTTGCAGCACATTCAGATTTAAAACTGCTGATTAGGTTACTAGAAGTATTCCACACCTGTTTATCACACAGGTGCATACTACGCTCAATGTACCTGTGAAAGTGACATGTCCCCATAGAAGAGCTAGTGGACCAATTTTTCCATTCGTCATAGTAGTTGGAAGGCTGCCTTCAAGTATAAAAAGTTGCACCAGTTCTTTGTATGGAAAACAAACAGAATGCACGCATATGGGCAGCCAGCCTGTTCTCACGTAAATGCATTTCTATAACACGCTTCGTATATTGACGTGTAATTTATTCGCGTAAATGAGTTATTACGTGCCTATGAGGAGCAGTTTTTCGTGTGCATTTGATACGCAGTTCATTTTGGGTGTAATATACACACACCCCACACCACTTATTCCACCCAAACATATAAGGCCTGGTTCAGATTACACGATTTTAGCCCGATTTTGGCACGATCCGTTTGACGTAGGGTGTTGTGGGGATTCGTAAACGGCAACGGGTGTCGGGACACAAGATTTGATTGTAATATCTTGTATAGTGTGTCATAGTGGGCAACAACCTACGTCGCGTCTGCGATGCTTCACGTCATCACGACAAGAAGCATGTTTAATTTTTTTAACGGTCGTCCACGACGGTTCCGTCACATGTATGAGGTTGACCAATAGGAGCACAGAAGCTTTTCCGTACACAACTTTCAAAAATGGCGGAACGAAAGAGAGACGATGGTGCAAACGTTAAAACTAAAAGTAAAAATATATAAGAAAACAATATTCTACCTCAAGTTCTCTTTGGAGGATTGACAGCCCATACTGTCCTCTTCGAGCAATCCAGGAACGTGTCCATTGTCGGGTTTTCTTTTTTTTCTTACTTTTTTCTGAACACAGGACAGCCAATACAACACTCACCGCTTCATCCATTGTTTGTTTACGTTCGTTTCCGGAAGTCACTCGCTACTACAGTAGTTTCGCCATCTCGATGACATCATGTACGCCGTTAAAGACGGCATGCAATGACTGGTCAGGAAGCAACGTAAAGTCTGACATGTGTCTTGTCCACGACACGACAAGATTTTAGACGTCAAAATCGCGTAAATCTGACACAGTGACTATCGTAACGGACAAAAAAAAAATCGTGTAATCTGAACCAAGCATAATACACACGCACCCCACCCCACACCTAAACCTACCCTAACCAATGCGTATCATATGCACGTAAAAACTCACTTTAGCGTATAAATTACACGACAATAGACATGCGTGCTATAAAGACGCATTTAGTGCGATCGGGTTAGGGCAGCATGAATCATCACACTTTCCGTCAACTTGAGGCTGTGGCATAGAGGCTCTGGCCACTGATAAGACTTGGCCAAAGCGCAACCTCTGAGAAGCGTTACTTGTGGTTGGTTGGATGCACGGGATGCATTGGAGTTCCAGCCAACTATTGAAAGTGGATTGGCAGCGGCGTTGGACAGGTCTTGGCCTGGCCAGAAAGGCCAATGCCAGTTTTATTGAGAAGAGCATGGCCAGGCATTCCTGTACAAGCAACAACTCCTCTAATTACTCCCGTCTGAAAGGGAGCAAAAGGGGGTCACTTCCCTGAACCGAACAAACTCAAACCGCCATGTTTTTTTGTTTTTTTTTTTGCTCTTCCGCTTGGTTTAAAGATTAATGCCTCAAATTTCTTTTCTTTTTTGTTGTTGTTTTTTTCTTTTCCTTTTTACATTGTGGGCCTAATTTCATAATGAAATCAATTTCACTCCACATCCCAGCGCAGGAGCACCACATAAAGACGAGATTGTGTTTCTTCAGTGCTCCACAAAGTGATCTAATTGTCAGTTCCTAATCAACCAGTAATGTGAGGAAGGCTTTCTAATTATGTAACCATGGTTTCTGACTTGTAAATAGATGGACATTCAGTAGTTTTGAATTATCTTTGAGCACTATGGGGCATACTTTATGTTTATTGGGTCATGCCCTTGTAAAAGATACGATAGGTTAAACAAAACAGGGTAACAGTAGGATCAGTACAGAAGGTTTGCTATAAGGCTAGTATCACTACTACTATTACGTATACATAAGCTTGGGAATTTGAACAAACACATTAAATATTAAATAAAGTTATACACTCTCAGTTTGTGCTGTGAACATGAATAAACTATGAAACAACCGTGGGGGCGGTGGGCAAGTATGGCCATGTAACAACTACCTGGCAACCGCATAGTAACACCATAAAATAGGCATCACCTAGCAACCCCCCCAAATAAACCTACATAAATGACCTGGAAAGGGCATAGCAACAACCTAGCAACCACCTAGTTACACCATAACTAATACCTAGCGACCCCCTATAGAAACTTTATAACAATATGGTAAATCACTCATAAGCAACAGCATTAACAACTTGGCAACCACCTAGAAAAAATGCTTTGGAAACTGCCTTCTAACACCATAACAAACACGTAGCAACCTGAAAACACCCTAGCAACACCTTGACCACCATCTTGTAAAACCCTAACCTAACAACTATACCCCATACCCACACAAGATAGCAAAAAAACCTTTTTTTAGAAAAGTTAAAAATAGCTCAGTTATAATAGTGTGTGAAATTAATTTATCTGTTTGTTTCAAACTATTTCAATCTACTTGCACAGGTTCATTGAGTTCACGGTGAGTGTACTCACGTGATCTTGAATTTCAGTTTACTTCTTGAAATATTCATTCATGTTGTAAAGACTTCTCCGATTGAAATCTATTGCAGGGAAATGGAATTTTGCAGAAGCGGCTGTTAATATTTAAACCACCACAGTGCAATAAATTAAACAAGCAGCGCTAGGTTAACGTCGTGCAACATTTAACGTTTTCTTTAACGACATTCATTCACGTGGCGTCTTGAGGGGATACATCGAGTGCATTCATCATTTTAGCAGACACAAATACTCACTAAACACACGCCAGGTTGCCTTCCGCCATGGTTCACTAGTTGATGTGTCACACACTAGTGCTCTGTGCGTTAATGTGCAGCCTCTGACAGCTAAAATGAATCTTAAAGGCATCAAGGAAGCGTTTTAGTCAGCTGTTCTGGACTCGGCCGATCAGCGGGATAGCGTGAACAAAGCTGATCATTTAAAGAAATATTACACCTAAAATAAAATGCTACTAAAGTCACTAAAATTAACCCCCTTTAACATTGCCCTTGTAATCTTTAATCAAAATAACTTACCCTCCCTCTGATGACAGTCACATTTACTGTTGTTTGGTAAATTTTCATGGGTGAAATTTAGTTGTTTTGTTCGGACCTTTTTCACCATTTCCTGGGTTCTCTGAAGGTTTTCATAGTTGGGTAAACTTCTGTAGTGGTGTACAGGAGATGACAACAAATATAGTTTTTGTATTCCCATTTACTCCAATAGTAAAAGAATTTAAATAGAATTTACACAACTTTTCCTGAGGAAAATTACAGCAGAAGAGAATTATATCAAATTTGTCCTCATGCAGAGGTTCACTTCGTCAAATAAATGCACCGCAGTGATGTGAAAGTGTCTTCTGTGTAAGTTGTGCTTCATATATCTCTACACTATATTGATTGACAAAAAGAAAATGAACTTTTTTTCCAATTAAATTACAATGAAATTGGTTGTGTCCACATTGGCAGCCATTTATAGTGATAAATGGTAAATACCAAAAGCCGACGTGGACAATGCACATGAACACCCGCTCGTGTGGTATTTTCCACTGGGCAGCTTGTAGAATATTTTGATGCACGAGTTGCTGAGATGAGATAACCTTCGACCTTTTCAAAATGGCGGACAGCAACGAAATATGTACTATTCATGATTTAGAAAATATACAGCCTATTATTTACCGTTTGAGTTTTGATAAATCATTTTCTTGCTGTAGAAGATGACTTAAGCAATCTAAAATAGTTTTAGCTAAATAAAAAGTCTGGATCTCCATCTTTTTACCACATTACAACAACAAAAGCACTTGGACGCAACACACTGGTAAATACCAGTTCACAAGTGGAAAATATCATATTTTCCATAGCACGTGAATGCACCATAAGCATAAAAAAAAACACTGTTGAAATAGTGTCATTAAAAAAGCTGACATTATTATGCTAATGAAAAATGCTAATGAAATAGTTATTTGTTGGTACTGCTTTTATGATTCAAACAAATATATTATTATTATTATTTGGAGCTTGACCAACATCACATGAAATGTGAATTTTCTTGCTTTGTGTTGTATGGAAAAAAAATAAAAGCATATAGGTTTGGAACGACATGAGGGTGAGTAAATAATGACAGAGCAGTCTGTGACAGGTGACATAAGATTACATTAAGTATAATGATTTAATGAAATAAAGATCATTTAAAGCTGCTTTCTACAATTGCTAATCACTGATTATTGCACGTTTGCAGAGTGAAGACATGATCAATCATGTGTGAATGGTAACCAGACCTTAACCTTTAGCAGCAGCACATGCAAATGAATTTCACAGAATTAGGTTTATTATCTTAAACATCCCCATTATGATCACTTGATATAGGTGGATAAATTATTGCGGGGGGTCCAAATATTGAAAATATGGAATTCAAAGTCTTATTTATACCTGGAAATAAAATACAAAGCAATATTATGTTGTAAAATCAATAAGAAATAAGGTTCTGCACTGTTATGTCACTAATCAAATAAGGAAATGTGTATAGCAAATAAGCACAATGTGCTCTTTGGAACATTCACATGCTGGATGACATGATGGTTTTGCACAAACCTGGTTAATCTAATGTTCAAAATGTCATGTTTATAATAATATAATAATGTTTAAAAAACAAACAAAATAGAAACTTTTTTCACCAGACTTTTGAACTCAACTGTAGATGAAAAAAGTCTAAAATATTATTTAAAGGGATGGTTCACTTTGAAATTAATTTTTGGTATGTTTTAGCTTACCTCAAGGGCATCCAAGATGTAGGTGTCTTTTTTTCCACAGTATTTTCAATTTTGATATTTTTAGGTCAAACCGTTCTTGTCGGTCAGTCACATAATGGAGGTCTATGGTCACCATCTCAAAGAGCATGCACAGAGAAGTCCAAATTAAACATGATTTAATGACTCGTAAATGTAAGTACACATTGATGGCCTAAGACACGAAACGAGCGGTTTGTGTGAGAAAACGAACAGTATTTATATCGTTTTTACCTCTTGTAACCACAGCCACGTCCAAGTGGCATCTAAAGACGCGGGCGCTTCGGTCTGCGCAAGCGTGACTGTGATTTCAAGAGGTAAAAACGATATAAATACTGTTCGTTTTCTCACACAAACCGCTCGTTCATCAATGTGTACTTACATTTACGAGTCATTAAATCATGTTTAATTTGGACTTCTCTGTGCATGCTCTTTGAGGTGGTGACCATATACCTCCATTATATGACTGACAGACAAGAACGGTTTGACCTAAAAATATCAAAATTGAAAATACTGTGGAAACAAAGACACCTACTGTACATCTTGGATGCCCATGAGTTAAGCTAAATATCAATATATCAAAAATTAATTTCAAAGTGAACTATCCCTTTAATACCGCTAAATCAATCTAAATAAGTTCATTTATAACAACAAAACACAGGTAGACATATTGCAGGTTACCAGTTTTTTACACTCTACACAATGCTGGGTCGTTTTAACCGAAAATTGGGTAAAATAAGGGCAAACCCAAATGTTGGATTAATAATTTAAAATTTGAACCCAACTTCAACTTTCACTTTCAACTGTACATTTTTTTAATTACATTTTTAAACCAACATTTGTCCATAACTGACCCAAATTTGGGTTTTTAGAGTGTACTGTAGCTTGAATTCTGCTGGATACAAAGTTTTCAAGGGCTTGCTTGACTTCATCAGAGCTGAAGCCTAGCGTGCATCTGCTCCCATGTCAGTTGCTCACTGTTTGGTCACATTTTAGTGCATTTTCATTCGTTGGCACGCTGCAGATCAGCCAGGGCAGAAAAGATGCTAAAAGCATCAAGGAAATTCTTTGTAGGCCTCAACGTCTACTAAATCATTTACAGTGCAATAAAAACACGTACACTTGCACATGACTGAAACATGTTTGATAAAATGGTTTTTATTGATATTAAAAATGAAAGTACATGAGTTGTGCATTTCGGACGTTCTAACGTGCAGAGGTTAAATCAATTAAAATACACACAGGATGCGTGGGCTACTGATATTAAACTGTTGCCAATGAAAGACAAAAGATCCCGTCATTTTCAGCGCACACACGCCTTTTTTTTTCGCACGGAAAGATAAGTAACCAGTTTGGAAATGCAGTCCTTGCAGGAATAACATAATAGACAAATGGCAATGCCCCTGGAAATATTGGATGTTCAAATAATAAAAATAATGATAGTAATTATAATAATTGCACTGTCACAACTGATATGAATCAGATAAATATTGGGATTATCAAGGCAGAGGGATACGCCGCAGGCCAGGCACTTAGACCTTTAGGTTTCAAGATACTAAGCGATACTTTAGTATACGTTTTTGACCTTAAGATGGGGCTTATACACTGTAAAAAAATATTTTCATGATTAGTAATCACAACATTTTTTCTTTTGTCAAATCAACTTAATTTATTTAGTTCAGATAACATATAATTTTGAGTATCTCCTTCATTGTATTAACTCACTTTTTCCATTTCAATGAACTACTTTTTTAAGTTAAACCAACAATATTTGTTTACAGTGTACAAGAAACGATGTTAGCTTGTTGTCCTTGTTTGAGAAACTGGCCTTGTTTTGGGTTTTTCACATAAATCCGCTGATATTTCCTGAGTATTAGGGTAAATAAGTACGGTAGCCCTTCAACAACTGAGATGAAGATACATGGAGGACTTGAAGGAAATAAGAGGATTTAGGGCATGGCGAGATTCAAGGGATGAACATTCCACTCTTTGTGACATCATAATGGATTTTTACTTTAACTTATGACTGCAGTTCAATTACTCAGCAACAAGAACAAACATTGAACCAGGGACGGACTCTTCTCAACGCCCAAAACATGGCATCCCTTAGAAAAATGATCATACAACAATGACTGTAGTGGTTTTGTGTACAATAGTGGAATATAGAGACCGCGTTTATTTTTTTTTTCTAATTGTTTTTGTTTTATTTTACAAACAGAAATCCATTTGGTAGATTAAAAAGCCATGCGGGAGAGAGAGAGAGAGAGAGAGTATTCTGAGTATGTGCCTATTTTTCTATTACAACATGTCTAAGCAATCCAGGCTACAGCTGCTGTTAAAATATTGATTTTAAAATAGCTCTGTGGCGAACCAAACGGAGAAAAAAAAAAAAGGAAAATGTTTTTTGGTACAAAGCATCTACAAAAAGCATTTACATGTAAAATGGGAAAAAAAAGAGAGAGCATATAAAATAAAATCCATCAGTTGAGCATCAGTGCTATGTATATTACTGTATTTGGACTGATTTTAATATATACTTTTATAACAAAATAAATAATGCCTTTATACAGTGCCCATATTTGTACTTAAACAAACAAACAAAAAGAAGCTTGGCGGCTCATTACGCAAGATACAGCTCAGACTAAAAGAATATTACATGATGTCCCTGGAAACTAATTATAATATATATTTCCATATTTATTCAATATATATTTTTACATATATTCAAGTATTTGTTTCTCAGGCAAAAGCATGTGAATACTACGGATAAACGTTTAAAATATATGTTAGTTGACATTATTGCGTTTTTTCCCTTTGAATTGATATTTGTGCCTTTTTTTTTTTTTTCAGAACTGTAAAATAACGTTACAAAAACACAAGCCTATTTTGCAACAACAACAATGTCACGGTACCAGAAACCAAACTGGGCTTTTCTTTTTCTTTTCTTTTTTCTTTTTTCCTTGAAGCGTTTTCACGAAATAGAACATAGAAAATACAAACATCCCACTTTTTCAAGGTCACAATGTTCCTGCAGTGCAAAGCAGGGGTTTTGTGCAGCCACGCTCGAAAGGAGGCGAGTTCTTCACGTCCAGGCGTTTGAACGTGATCCCTTCCGGGACCCAAGGCATACGTCGCGCGTGTCTTACGTATACGCATCTGATATCCCCGCGGCCAATATGCTCTCGTTCGCTCTTTCCAAAGTCACACTTTCCTTAAAACGGAAAGTTTAATAAAGTTTCAAAGGAAAAAAAAAAAAAACATGCTTGTCAACCCCTTCTCCTTTGAGTCCATTCCCAAAGCTAGCACCATGACATTTTTTGAGCTACATGTTCATAGTCCATAAAAAAATAGTGCCTTTTTTATTTACTTAACAAGAACTTTGACGTAATCCGTGGCGATGTGCAATTCGCAGACTCTTCTCTGCTTTTCGTTTGTGATTAACAAGGTGCTGGAACAGGAATCTAATTTTACAACAATTCCTTACAGTGTGGATGTCCCTTTATAGTTACAGGTGCAAACTAATATTTAAAAAGGACTAAAAGAGAGATACGTTTGTCTCGGGAGAATGCAGTGGAATGGGTTCGTTCATGCTAGCTCTAGCTGTTCCTCGCGTTCTGACGTCCTCCGGACTGGCGAAAACGTTCGACGTTCCGCCGCTTCTTCGCTCTTTCTTTTGCTTCTTCACCTCTCGCTTATGATTTGCCTTTTTGTCGGTGAACGAAACAGCAAGAATGGAAACTCGAAGAGCGTGTGAGCACGTCTGGTGGGGAAGGAAGAAGGGTTGTTGAGGACTGCCACAGAAATGACGTCAGAGACAAAAAGCTTTGATCCCCTAAGTCTTTTTTTATCGACTCTGTGCAAATGATCCTGGTTTCACTTGTGGCTGACGTAGTTTTCTGTGGGGAGAAGGATGGGCGGCAGCTTGCTGGGAAGTGTGATGAGAGGCCTGTGGTGGTGCAGTTGCTCCTGGGCCTTGATTCTCTCCGCCTGCCGCCTATACTTCTTGGCCCGCAGGATGGCAGGGATGCCCCTCCGTAGCCTCTGGGCGGCCTTCTGCTGCCACACGTCGTATTTGGGATATTTCACGGTCACGTGCTTTCTTGGGACCTCCTGTTGCGAAAGTAAAACAAGTGTTAGAAACAGGTTGAAATTCTCACCGATTTTCAATAATCTCTGTAAAGCTGTATTGTAAAAAGCGCTATGTAAATAAATGTGACTTGACTTGACAGATATCTTCTACGATTGCTTGGAAGATCTCTGAAAATGATTTTAAACTCTCTTAAACTCAAAAGTTTTGAGGCAAAATTTTAATGATTTTGCAGATATTTTTCCAAAAATAATTCACTTTTAAAAGAACTTTTGCTGATATTTTACTCACCCCCATGTCATCCAAGATGTCCACGTCTTTCTTTCTTCAGTCGAAAAGAAATTAAGGTTGTTGATGAAAACATTCCTGGATTTTCTCCATATAATGGACTTCATTGGGAACCAAATGGGAGTTTCAGTGCAGCTTAAACGACACCAGACGATGAATAAGGGTCTTATCTAGGACCCTTCGAGTCATGACTCGAAAAAAGATTTGTTCATTTTGATGAACGAGTTTGAAAAGGAGAGTCACGAACGCGCATCACAGAACAGAGTAAGGTGAGCATTTGTGCTAATAAAACTTTAACTTTTTTATTTATTTTTAAAATGGCCGATCGTTTCGCTAGATAAGACACTTATTCATCGTCTGGTGTCGTTTAAAGCCCTTTGAAGCTGCACTGAAACTCTCATTTGGACCTTGAACCGTTTGGTTCCCATTGAAGTCCATTATATGGAGAAAATCCTGGAATGTTTTCATCAAAAACCTTAATTTCTTTTCGACTGAAGTAAGAAAGACATGGACATCTTGGATGACATTGGGGTGAGTAAATTATCAGCAAAAGATTTTTTAAAAGTAAACTACTCCTTTAACTACTGTACAAAGACAACATTTGTATTTCTCTTGCCCAATCCTCGTCTTTTTTAAAGTCTTAGTTCACCCAAAAAAATAATGAAAAATTTACCATTATTTTCTCACTCGCATGTCATTCCAAACAGTCTCCTACTTTTAAAATCAATCCAATGAAAGTCAGAGTTATTTTGGACCCCATTGACTTTCTTTATATGGAAAACATTCTTCAAAATATCTCCTTTTGTGCTCCGCAGAAGAATATATTTGGAAGGACATGATGTTGAGGAAATTATGAATTTTGGGCAACCTATCCATACCAGATGTTATTTAAAGGGCTATCCAATACCCCCCAATGACCAACCAGCTTGTCAACATCCAGGTCATTTTGTTTTGTAACCCAATCCAAGTATGTGATGTAAATCTACAGGAAAATTTCAACCTTGATATGACCGCTCACTTCACTATCATATCATTTTCCACTTGGTCAGCAGTTTTAGAGCAATACTTGCTTACTAGTTCCTTACTCTGGCTCATTGTTTTCTTTAAACCCACATGCCAGGATGGACAAGTTTGGCAGAAAGCACAGGACAATCAAGATGGTGCGGGTGTGATAAAGTGTTGTTGTTTCCCACGGTCGACATACCTGTTTTAATGGGGGCATCACCGGGATGACCTGTAGGGATGTGGCTGAAACGTCCCTCTCTGACTTGGCAGGTTTAGCGCAGTATTGTTCCAGTAGAGCTAGGTTACAACTGCTAAAACAACACTCTTCCACAATCCCACGATTTTGAGAACGCCGACTATTCGACCTACTAGTTGGTCGACCTGCAGAGATACAAATAAAATACGTTTATGGATGACAGGGAGAGAGCAGACACAATTGATGAAGTTCACCCAATGTCATTGCAAACCTGTGATGAAAACCATTTTTTTGTCCATGCAGTGAAAGTCGGTTGCTTTGGACCCCATTGACTTCCATTGCATAGTCAAAAACAGTTTTTCAAAATGTATTATTTTGTATTCCAGAAAGTCATACAGGTTTGGAAGGTCATTAGGGGAAGTAAATGTTGACAGGATTATACAATGTTGATTGAACTATTCAGGCCTAAACTGGTTTGCTGGTTTCCCAAGTTTGGGGCACTTAATGACAAATACTCCATCTGGCTGACTAGGTAACTCTAGTTGGTTTGATTATTTTTGAGAAAATGAAAAATCTGGTGTTTAGCTGGGTAAAAAATGATGAAGTTCACCCAATGTCCTCATGTCATTGCAAACCTGTGCTCAAAACCAGTTTTTTGCCCATGCAGTGAAAGTCAGTTGCTTTGGACCCCATTGACTTCCATTGCATAGTCAAAAACAGAACGCCTAAGTTGGTTTGATTATCATTATTTTTGCGAAAATGAAAAAGCTGGTGTTTAGCTGGGTAATCCAGCCTGAACAGCTGAAAGTTGGGAAAAAAAATCCCTAATTAAAATCAGCCAACAGACGAGCAAACTAGCATAGACGGATTTATTTTTTTATTTTATTTTTTCAGCTGGAGATCCAGCTGCACACCAACATAGCCATGCTGAAAAGCCATTTGACCATCTCAAACCAGTTAAGACTGGGGGGATGCTAGTTTTGTCTGTTTTAACAAGAAAGAAGAAGAGATTTGGCTCAAACTCTCCAAACAGTTGCCATTAAACATGCAAACACATTTAACAAACCCTACAAACAAGTCAATTTAAATCAAGCTCCAGTGGCCTGATTCCATTGTCAAAGCAGATTTCATTATCGATTCATTGTGTTTTGACTGGGGCGCATCTGCGGTATATAATAAAGGCAAAATCTGTGGCATAAAATGGAGTCTGTTTATTTGTTTTCTCGCCCGGACTGATCTCGTTATGCCGTCTAATTGAGCCGTTCGAAATCTGTTTCGAAGAATTCGCCGACAACCCGGCGACACGGATCCCAGTGGCGGGCGGAAGGCCGAAGGCATGCAAATAAGACAACTAGAGTGTTGGAGGGCAAAAGTCTTCGCTTATGTTTGGATGAGCAAATGGTGGATATCCTTTGACCTTGTCCTTTGCCAGCTCAGCAGAGATAAAGAGAGCATGAAAGAGAGGAAGGGGGAGGGGTAGAAGAACAGACTTGGCACGAAAGAGAGAAGATACAGGACACAGTAATGGAGGTGGGGGAGCCAGACCGGGGAAAAGGAAGGAACAATTGATTTTCAGTCAAATATTATGCGAACGATTGCCGCTTCTCACAACCGCAACGATCTGAAAGGGAGTTCTTGATTGTAGGATGGGAAACATTGAAGAGTGGATCTGGTGGATAGAGGGGGGAAAATGTGCGCTGGCCCAAATTGGATAATGATCTTTCGGGGTAGTTAGGCTTCTGTGGACAAGAGAACACAAAGGCCTTGTCTGTTTTGTCAGTGCTGGCGCGAGGAAGACGACAAATATTTAAAAAGTCGTGCTCTCGACCCTCTCCGTGAACGGACGGATCTGGATCGAACGATTCGGCGCTCGGAACTAACGCCAATCAATCGGTTAGTATCTGTTACGCTAAACTAGTAATGAAGCTGTCTCAATCCATCCAGCCGTGTAAGAGGACAAACAACTTTTTTTCAATTGAGTGTAGCCTGGGAACATTTCTGCAGAGGTGAATGGAATGCCACTTGGGTACTATTACTTTCCCTGGCGGAATGTGCAAGTAAACAACCGGGCCATTGTGGCTCATTTAGCATCCCTTTCATATGCAATCACAGATATCGCGAGAGAATGCGCCCAGTCAGCACAATCTGCAGAGACTTCGCTCGTAACTCTGGCCGTTCGCGACACGCAATTGGCAGGGTTTGCGACCAGAGAAAAGGGATGTCCAAATGTACGTACTGAAATAGAAGCCTCTGTCTTCGCAGACAAACTGTAGCGCGTCCACCAGCTCTCCACCACATAACGTTTCAGCTGAGGCCACTTCGAAGGCAGACAGGGTTAAAAGCAGTATGCATATGGGCATCCGTACGGACCAGTACATCTTTATGACCTGCAAAGATAATGTGTTTTAGTTAGTTTAGATTTGGAATGTATGAAGCTGTTTTTTATGCCATTTTTATAACGATAACACAACACTAAACAACTATAATTAGCTTCATCAAGGCATTTAGTAATGCAACACAAAGTCTGCATGCATGGCAATCGACTTGTTCGATCACAATGTTTAAACCAGTCAATGTACAGAATGGAAAGCATGCAGTGTAGTTCACAATTTGATGTACATGCAACTCGGGAATTGTGTTTTTCTCTCTCTAATGCCTTTGTTTTAGCATCAACAAAAAAAGAGGTCCGATTTTTGAGTAGCTAACTACCGTTTTATTTCTTTCTTTGATGCATAGAATTCACCAAATGCGATATACCCTGCATGGGAAAATTGTGCATTTTGTAGTTAAGTAGCACTAAAAAGATGACATTTTAAAGTGCTGCAGATCATTATCTTTACGAACTTCCTCTGGTAATAGCCATTAGGTCCTTCAGTGCATTCCAAATCGCCAATGCAATTCTTCAAACACGCTGTGATTGTACTTGCATGCATCGACCTTTTAATTAACGCTAGATATCCACGTCAAAAAGAGCTTTTATCTCCCTTATTTAGGCTATACTCTTACACAACGTTCAACAAGTTGCAAGACTGCTGAACATACCCAGCTATCTCATTCCACACAACTCAGCATATAATTTTCCCCAAACCCAGCTCATTTAAAGTGCTGTCGCCCCCTTGCGCAACTTCTTCCCTGTGCGCGCGTACCCTGATAGCTACTGAATGAAGTGTCAAGTACATTTATTTTTTATTTGTAAAGCGCTTTTCTACACATTGCTTGTCCGAAATTCATGATGTAAATGTTAGTAATATTTTATAGTTCACATTTAGAGCTGTCAAGATGTTTAGAGCTGTAAGCGGTTTACAGTGTCAAAAACATCTCTCGTGCAAAAGACTGCATCTAAAATCTCTTTCGTTTCCAAACGTGTCAATTTCTGATGTTTATTCAAACCAATGAAATAGAGAATATCTTCAGATGTGTCCAAGATTTCCTTAAGGTTGTCAAAATATTTTCTTTACCTTATTTATGACACTGTCTGTTCTCAAGCAGGTATGGCAAACAGAATGATGTTTTAGTTGGTCCTCCATGGCAACGTAAAAAAAATAATAAAAATACGCGGTGCTGTTGTATTTGGTTGAAAAAGGTCTGTTAGTTTCCCCAGTTGGTGTTAGGATGTTGTGTGGAGCTGTCCCAAAAATCAGGCGACAGGCAAAAGTTCTGTGAGAGAAGTATTATATACCCAAACCCGCCCCTTAACACCCCCCTCCACCCCCCGCCCCTCTCGCGCGAATGTCCGTGAGGTAAAACTCGAGGTGGTCAGTCAGTGACTCTCCAGCAGTTTTCCAAGAATTCCAGATCACAAAAAGGTCAATGAGCATAAAAAAAAAATAGGCTATGCTTTCCTAAAAAATGATGACGGCTGCAACCTTATTTCACAAACTATTTTAACACCACCTCAGACATATCAATATATATATATAGCCTAAATAAACAGAAAACGTTCGACATTTCAGAAACCTACACGTCATCGGTATCAGTGTAGCCTACAGAGTTCTGTCAGAACAGTCGAAGTGTAAAATTTTACAATGGAAAGGATGATAAGGAGTGAAGACGAAACGCTTTACGCGGTCATTTCCTCTGATATCCACCTGACTTATCGATCTTCACGCGAATAGTGGCTGTAATGATGGTAATTCACTTTACAGGCTAACCATTCAGAGCACTGAGAGGATAATGAAGAATTAGCTCGACTTGAATTGAACTTAAATTGGTTTGATTGAATTACTTGGAAATGTCATCCATCACCTGGCAAAGCAATAAGGGCCATGATGTTTTTCTTCGTGGACACTAGTCTCCATCTGATATGAAATGCTGGGTCCAAAATGTCTACTGCCTTACTAAACACCTTTTGAAATTGTTTTAAATCATAATTATCATGTGGACAGTAAATTATGATCAATGAGTTATGACAACATGTTTTTACATCAAAATAAGTTAAGCAATTTTCATCAGTTTTTTTTTTAATTAATTATTACTTATAGGCTACTGGATTCAAATAGTTTATTATAATTTACGTTTAAATGACTTAAATATCCAAGTTAATTGTACGTAAAATTTATATATATATATATATATATATATATATATATATATTGTATTTACTTATTATATTATATTAAATTATATTATTATATATTATTATTAATAATATTATATTATTATTATATATTATTGTCTATTATATTATATACAGTTTCCTATATATTTGTTCAATTTGTTCATTGTTTTAATGTCATGACCATTAAGATGAATGTAAGCTACTTTTTTTATTTTATTTTTTAAATGGTGTGATTGGAATGGCCATTGAATATTGGATGAAAACTCATTTTAGGGTTGGAAATCATCAATGAAATTCCGTAGGCAAACATGACTGGCAAAATGTGGAAATCACAAAACCGTGCATTGTAAAAATGAACAGCTTCTTGCCAAAAAAAAACATGACATGAAAGTGACGATAATCAGAAATTGATGAGAAAATTAGAGAAAAGCAGTGGCCTTGTATTCTTTACTCAAATGGCGCCCCTGCTGGTAAGAAAAAGAATAGCGGAATCGCGTGAAAAAAAGGGGGGCCTGCTGCTGCTGGCATGAATTATCAATGCACTCTGTTACTGGAAGCACCATTATAAAGACATTAAACCTCTCTTCCTCTGTCTCCTATTATCCATCAGATGAAGGAAGCAGGAAACCCAAAAGATCTGTAGGGCCTTGCAATAAATCATGCACTGCATTCAGTAAGCTGCATTTTCATCTTAGTCACATTGCCATGCACAACAATGTATAAAACTGCCCGACCAACCAGTCCAGAACAAAACCTTAGAGGTCATCAGTAAAAAGCAGGTTTTGTGATAGCCAATATGTACAGTCAGCAATATCTAATATTTGACCTGAATTGCTCTCTGTTATAAACTCAGTGACCTCAGTTTAATTGTTCAAATTGTGCAACTACTATAATATATCAGTCTTCGTTAGAGTAATATCCTACACCTACTGATTTACTACATGACGTATTCCACTGTGGGATTTTTAAAATGTATTTAGTGGTTGGTTGCGTATTCAAATGGTAGATCTTCGGATCCAAAATCAGAACCCTCGTCCCGATAATAACCTCTAACCTCATGACACGACCCTTACAAAATCCCTAGTCATTATGCCATCCTTAATATAAAAGCTCTCATCTAAAAGTGCTGGTGTGGGACGGCTCACCTGTATGCTTAGACTACCATCTGGTGGTGGTTGTTTTATTTAAGGTTCAGTCAGGCAAATAGTCTTCTGAAACCAACTTACTTTTCCTGTAAAAAGCATTTATGAACACGTTGATTTAATATAAAGTCAGGAAAGTAAACCACAAGAACAGTTTGGGATGTTTTCAAATATATTTCTTTATCATATAGCACATATCCAATTTGCACTACACAGTTTTCTTGCAACTTTATTTATGCCTGATAACAGCAATGGTATTTCTTTTTATGCACTGTTTGACTTTGCAGAGACTATTCATATTTATGTCATATTTTCTGAAGTTGAACATCAGTACAACAATCAGTAGGCCAGTGTTTTCTTTTTATGAATGATTTGCTGTTGATAATAGAACATTTCTATCTTTAGAAGAATCGGCTCAATGTATTATTTTAGGAATATATTTAGAATACAATTTGTACACATTTAATCATACATTGTAGTTGTTTTTATTTTTGTATTTTTATTTTTTGTATAGTTCTTAATCTGGTGATATTTCATAAATAACTTTTGTCTTCAATAGCTTCAGGGTACGTTTACACAACAATGATTTAGACAACGTTGTCGAAACGATCCCGTTCACATGATCCGCAAAAACGTCTAAAATCGCTCTATTATTCATACAAGGCCAGTAGATGGCGCTGCCACTCTGTAAAGAAAACTACACGCCTATATACTGAACACGTTGTTCGCATAATAGATGGTTCGCATATGCATGACGTCACCATTTTCACAATTCAAATTTTGTAGTTCACAAAGAGACGATAACTATGGAAGCTTGTTTCCGCCACTGGATAAAATAATAATAATAATTGTGACTTTTTATCTCACAATTGCGAGATATGAAGTCAGAATTGTGAGAAATTAAAGTCACAATTGCCAGATATAAAGTTGCGGATATGAAGTCAGAATTGTGAGAAATAAAGTCGCAATTGCGAGATTTAAAGTCGCAATTCTGAGATATAAAGTTGCAAAGTTGCGAGATATGAAGTCAGAATTGTGAGAAATAAAGACACAATTGCGAGATTTAAAGTCGCAATTCTGAGATATAAAGTCGCAATTGCGATATATAAAGTTGCGAGATGTGAAGTCAGAATTGTGAGAAATAAAGTCGCAATTTCGAGATATAAAGTTACGGATATGAAGTCAGAATTGTGAGAAATAAAGACACAATTGCGAGATAGAATGTCGCAATTCTGAGATATAAAGTTGCAAAGTTGCGAGATATGAAGTCAGAATTGTGAGAAATAAAGACACAATTGCGAGATTTAAAGTCGCAATTCTTAGATATAAAGTCGCAATTGCGATATATAAAGTTGCGAGATATGAAGTCAGAATTGTGAGAAATAAAGTCGCAATTGCGAGATATAAAGTTACGGATATGAAGTCAGAATTGTAAGAAATAAAGTCGCAATTGCGAGATATGAAGTCAGAATTGTGAGAAATAAAGTCGCAATAGCGAGATATAAAGTTGCGGATATGAAGTCAGAATTGTGAGAAATAAAGACACAATTGCGAGATAGAATGTCGCAATTCTGAGATATAAAGTCGCAATTATGAGAAATAAAGTCGCAATTGCGAGAAAAAACACAGAATTGAGACTTTTTATCTCACAATTCTGACTTTTTCTCACAATTACTGTATATCTCATAATGATATCTAGTGATGATATAAATGATATATAAATGATATCATTTTCTCATAATGATATCTTTTCTCGGAATTGTGAGATATAAACTCACAATTGCAAGTTACCAGGCCAATTTTAAGGAAAACACAAGACTACTTTTTTCTCCTCAGAATACTTTATATCAATCAATTCTGACTTTATTACACGCAATTGCGACTTTATATCACAAAATTCTGACTTTATATCAATCAATTCTGACTTTATTACACGCAATTGCGACTTTATATCACAAAATTCTGACTTTATATCTCGCAATTCTGACTTTATATCACGCAATTGCGACTTTATATCACAAAATTCTGACTTTATAACACGCAATTCTGACTTTATAACATGCAATTCTGACTTTATAACACGCAATTCTGACTTTATAACATGCAATTCTGACTTTATAACACGCAATTGTGACTTTATATTACAAAATTCTGACTTTATATCTCGCAATTCTGAGTTTAGAACTCAGAAAAAAAAGTCCGAATTGTGAGATAAAAAGTCGCAAATACCTTTTTTATTGTTCATTCTGTGGTGGAAACAAGCTTCCATAGATAATGGTATCGTTTTCAAAAACGTTCACTTTGAATCCGACCGAAATGCGCAAAAAGTGTTACGTCAAGTATATTTATATAGCGCTTTTCACAAATATAGATTGCATCAAAGCAGCTTCACAGTATCAATCAAAACATAAAAACAATGTTCGTTTCTTAGTGGAAAAAACATAAACGTTTGGTAGAGCTGATCAAGGGTATTACTGATTGGTTAATTAATTTGAATATAATGTTTTTAGTTGAAAACGTTGTCGTATAAACGCCCCCTATTAGCTTAATTTACAATGGGCATGACAAAAATTTTTTTAATTCATGTCATGCTGACACAGCTTTTGTTTAGTAGAGTATCACAGAGAGATCCATTAATCCAGAGATCAAAAATAAAACTTATGTCATCATTTAATCGCCCTCTTTTAATCTGTGTGACTTTCTTTGTGGAACATGAAAGAAGATTTTGAAGAATGCTGGTTTCAGTTCCCATTGACTTTCATTGTATGTTTCGTCCATACGAACCAAAACCGTTTGTTGACAGACTTTCTTCAAAATATCTTTTTGATGTTCTACAGAAGACAGACACCAACGCCAGCGCCGTCTCAACGCATACAGGTTTGGAGCGACATGGTAGAAATTTCATTTTGGGGTGAACTATTCCTTTAAGCTTTCTGGTATAGAGTTCCAACATGAAGTTTTTAAAGCAACGACGTCAGTGTAGCAGCAGATGTAGACGTAGACGCACAGCATAACAATGAGACGTCACATGTGAAGCAGAGAGGAACAGGAGAGTCGTTCGGCTCCTGGAGACAGAATCAAGCCAACACATTCAGGGCATCCGTGAGGATCTTCAACTCGTCTTTAATGGTCTCCAGCCCCTGCTGGATCTTCAGAGGGTTGTCCAGCACTTCTATGCTGTCTGTATACGGGTCGAACCGCACAGAAAACGGTCTCTTGATGCGCATCACGTACGCTCTGTTGTTTAAAGAAATAGTTTTATTATTGTTGTTATAAACACCAGGAATTATTTAACAGCAGAGAGTTTTAAATTACATGAAAATGCCAACCCGATCTAACGACCAAGTCGTACGAATTCGCCGAATGATTAAAAAGTGGCTTATTCGTAACAATTCATACGACCTCACTCGTACGAATTAATACGATTTTGCTAAATCGTACATATTTTACGAATTGGCCAATTCGTATGAATTCGTATGAATGACCTACCCCTGACCCCGCCCCTAAACCTAACCATCACGTGGGTTTAGACAAATCGTACGAATTAGTACGAGTGAGGTCGTACAAATTAGTACGAATTAGACACTTTTTAATCATGCGTCGAATTCGTACGAATTGGTCGTGAGATAGTGCAACCCGATCTCACGACCAAGTCGTACGAATTCGACGAATGATTAAAAAGTGGCTAATTCGTAACAATTCATACGACCTCACTCTTACGAATTAATACGATTTTGCTAAATCGTACATATTTTACGAATTGGCCAATTCGTATGAATTCGTATGAATGACCTACCCCTGACCACCCCCTAAACCTAACCATCACGTGGGTTTAGACAAATCGTACGAATTAGTACGAGTGAGGTCGTACGAATTACGAATTAGACACTTTTTAATCATGCGTCGAATTCGTACGAATTGGTCGTGAGATAGTGCAACCCGATCTCACGACCAAGTCGTCCGAATTCGACGAATGATTAAAAAGTGGCTAATTCGTAACAATTCATACGACCTCACTCGTACGAATTAATACGATTTTGCTAAATCGTACATATTTTACGAATTGGCCAATTCGTATGAATTCGTATGAATGACCTACCCCTGACCCCCCCCTAAACCTAACCATCACGTGGGTTTAGACAAATCGTACGAATTAGTACGAGTGAGGTCGTACGAATTACGAATTAGACACTTTTTAATCATGCGTCAAATTCGTACGAATTGGTCGTGAGATAGTGTTGGATAGTGTTAGTGTTGGAAAATGCAGTAAATTCCTTATCTTATATTAGTAAATACTTGCTAGATTTTATAAGTTCTGACTAAGTTAAGTTTTATAGAGTAAAATAAGTTGAATGAATGAAATACTTTTAAAAGTTGGCATGTCCTGTGGTGATGAAATGATAGCATTCATTTAAAATTAGTTATAAATATACAATTTGCCTTGAATTTTCATTAATATTTTAACCAAAGGTCTTGTTCATTTTGGAGAAAATATGAATGAAAATTGTTCATTAAAAAGTTGGACGTTAGGGTTAGAATGTTTCATTCACATATTTAATGCATTACATGTCCATGAACTTTTTAATGAAAAACTTTTTAAAACAAAAGAAGTTTGTACCAGTAACAAACCGTATATTACTTGATTGCAAACAATAAAGACAAAAACGATGCAAATGTATAATAATAATAATAATAATATAATAATAATAATTCATTACATTTATATAGTGCTTTTCTGGACACTCAAAGCGCTTCACATAGAGGGGGGGGGGGATCTCCTCAACCACCACCAGTGTGCAGCATCCACCTGGATGATGCGACGGCAGCCATAGTGCGCCAGAACGCTCACCACACACCAGCTTACTGGTGGAGAGGAGACAGTGATGAAGCCAATTGGTGTATTATGGGGATGATTAGGAGGCCATGATGGACAGAGGCCACTGGGCAAATTTGGCCAGGATGCCGGGGTTACACCCCTACTCTTTCGAAAGACATCCTGGGATTTTTTATGACCACAGAGAGTCAGGACCTCGGTTTAACGTCTCATCCGAAGGACGGCGCTCTTTTGACAGCATAGTGTCCCCATCACTATACTGGGGTGTTAGGACCCACACAGACCACAGGTTAGCACCCCCTGCTGGCCTCACTAACACCTCTTCCAGCAGCAACCTGGCTTTCGCAGAAGGTCTCCCATCCAGGTACTAACCAGGCTCAGCCCTGCTTAGCTTTAGTGGGCAACCAGTCTTGGGCTAGAGGGTGATATGGCTGCTGGCTAAATGTAAATGTACATACATAATGTACATACATAAATGTATGTAATATCCTATTTTTATTTTATTTGTGATAATTTGTTTTATTGACTATTTATTAACTAATATAATTAATTAGTTAGTTTGACACAACGTAATATATATATATATATATATATTCAGTTTGATTCATAATTTAACTTTTCATTACCAAGAATGTACTTATTCGCTGTTATATATTTCGTTGTCATAAATGCATTATGTAAAATTGTTTTATAAATAAACAAGTAACAGTTGATATTATTCGCAAATAAAATACAGACAAATTTATGCAATGAATATCCTAATTTTTTATGGACCACTATAGAACTTATTTTCATTCACAGTAAATGATACACTGTAAAAATGAATATTCTTTATCTAATCCAAACAAATTGTGGCAACAGATTAAAAGCAATATTATTAATTAAATTTAACAAATTTGAATTGAGTAATAATTAATAAAATTAATTACTTAAAAGTTAACCATTTAAAATGAGTAAAACTTACACAAAAAAAAAACATAAATTGAAGTCACCATTATGGTGATCTGTTTGATTTAGATTAGTTTTAAAATTACGGTTTTCTCCTTCAGTGATTCTGCTTGTTAACATCAGGTGTCTTCAATGTTGATAATATAAAATAAAGAGTTCTCAATTAATTTTTGCTGTCTGTCTGTTAGTGAGATATTTTCTGCATTTTTTTTTTTTTTGGTGTAAACTTTAACTTTTTAGGAATAATTTGATTAATGATTACTCAATTCTAATTTGTTAAATTTAATTAATAATATTGCTTGTAATCTGTTGCCCCAATTCTATGGATTAGATAAAGCATATTCATTTTTACAGTGATGATGAGCAAACCTACAGCACAGAGTATTTTTGATGCAGTTCACCTCAGTTTCTCTGTGGCAACTATGAAGCTCTCCGACACAAAATAGACGGGTTGGTACGTCTGGTCTTGGTACGGCTGAACAGCCACAATGTCGGGGTCGAATTCCCGTCTCTCTGGCTCATCTGAGAGAGAATGCTGAGAGAACATTGGCCAACATTAAAGGTCAAATGCATTCATCATAAAAAGCAGCCAAATCTATTCATTCGATAAACGCCACCGACCACCAGCTCTCCAAAAGACGACAGCAGTCCTGCTCCGTACGCTTTGATCTTCCCTCCTTGCTTGCACAGTCCGAACTCCACCGTGAACCAGTACAGCTGGAACACACATTCAGAACAAACACAGTCAGGGTCTCCAGTGTACAGGAGCAGAGCTTAATGAGACACTTTGTACTCACTGTTGACAGTTTCTCAATATCTTCATCAGAAGCTCCAAGAGAGGCCAGGCCAATACTCTGAGAGATTTCAGGACATACATCCAAGATTAAAGATGTAAGGAATTATGGGATTTGTACATAAAATATATATATATATATATATATATATATTTTTTACCTGAGAAAACTGTGCAAATGTTCTATCAGCCAATATCGGCACATGTCCAAGAAGTTCATGAACGCAATCCCTGGAATGGAAAAGAAGATACAAAATAATTCTGATTATTTGTGACTATATACTGTGCCATCATTTTCATTAAAGCAGACTTTACTTTGTTTACCCGCACTAAAGTAGGACTTAAGAATAATGTTATATGTCATTTTCATCATTACTTTCATTACTTTTAACTGTATTGTCTTTGAAATATGGTTAAAGTGTACTGCCAAAATATATTGACAATTTACAATGAACTAAAATTTAATTTAATTTAACCACACACATGAAGTTTTGTAATTAGATACATATGCTTTATTATGTCAGTCAAAATTTGTGTTCTTAGTAATACCATTGTACATTGTCCATGTTAAATGTACTTACAATCTAAAAAATGCTGGGTTGTTTCAACCCAAATTTGGGTCAATATTGGACAAACCCAAATGTTGGGTTAAAAATTGTAATTAAATAAATGTACTGTTGAAAGTGAAAGTTGAAATTGGGTTAAAATTTTAAATTACATTTTTAACTCAACATTTGGGTTTGTCCATATTTGAAACCAATATATACTATATATATATATATATATATATATATATATATTAGGGCTGTGCAAAAATTAATTGCGATAATCGCATCCAAAATAAAAGTCTGTGTTTACATAATATATTTGTGTGTGCTGTATATAATTATTTTGTATATATAAATACACACACATGCATGTATATATTTAAGAAAATGTGTTATTCATATATAAAATATTTATATTTATATAATATAGATTACAGAATTTAAGCGCAAATAATTCTTAAATATATACATGCATGCAGGTATTTATATATACAAAATAATTATATACAGCACACACAAATATATTATGTAAACACAGACTTTTATTTTGGATGCGATTAATCGCAATTAATTTTTTGCACAGCCCTAATATATATATATATATATATATATATATATATATATAACTACACGGTAACAAAGACACCTACGGTTACTTTATTTTAAGATGTCATTGTTACATTGTAATAATATATTTAAGTACTGATTAATATTAATTAACTACATGTACTTACTGTATAGGGTTAGGGTAGGATTAGTAGTTGGTTGAGGGTTAGTTACAGTATGTAATTATGCATACTTTACTGTTATTGCTATTGGTAAACGCATGTAACTATGTAACAAGGACACTGTAAAAAGTTTAAGTTACATTTTTAAGTGTATATGTTAATTAAATTGTAGTTACACTGAAAAAAATAAATAAATAAGAACAGCCTTGGCGAATATGTTACGTCTTCTTACCTGAGTGTTCCTTGGCGAATATTTCAATATTAACGTGAGCGGAGTGGAATAAAGAAAGTGTTTAGCAGGATTGATCTTCATAACGGTAAGCACGCGCTGCTTTGTTTACGTTATGTGTATCTGCAGCCGGCAGCGTCAGTTTTCCTCTTTGAATGACGTATATAGACTAATATATCTGCAGAAATAGACAGTTGTCTCTGTGTTCTGGGCTTAATATATTTGAGTTCAGCTCATGAAAAATGGGGGCAAAAACAAAAGTGTTGCGTTTATAATTTTGTTCAGTTAACATGCAGTTAAGTGTCCAAAAACTTAAGTATATTCTTTTAAATAAAGTAAAGTAAAGTAAAATTTTAAATAAAGTATATTCTTTTAAAAAGTATTATTTCTGTAATAAGTACTATATTGAACTCCTGTTTCACAAGCTCGTTTATTTTATTTGACATTCAATTTTAATGGGTTGCAGTGTTTCAGCGTGTACTAGGCAGTCAACCTACATCTGGATGTAAATCAAATGTTTAATAAACAGGAAGTGTCTTCATAAATATAAAATGTGTGACATTGTGTCTCTTACGGTTCAGGCGAGTGCATGGGGGAGGAAGCGTGCCGGATGTACTGCGTGCACTGGAACACACGAAAGGCCAAGCTAGCCAAAAAGTCTCGTGCGGAGAGGAGACCTGCCACTGGCCTCAGCTGGAAACCTGTGCGCTCTTTATACATCAGAGAGAGAGAGAGAGAGAGAGAGAGAGAGAGAGAGAGAGAGAGAGAGAGAGAGAGAGAGAGAGAGAGACTGTGACTGTGCCAAACTCATCACCGTCCTCCTGTCTGGTTGCTAGGGTGTTGCTATGACATTTCTATGCAGGTGTTCTGAGAGGAATTGTATTGCCATTGTCATTCCTAGGGTATTTTGGGTTGTTGCTAGGGCGTTGCTATGTGGATGTTCTGGGTAGTTTCTATTGGTTGCAAAGGTGATTGCTAAGGCATTACTAGCTAGCACAATGTTATGGAGTCGGTAATGTTTCCTGAGTGTTTGCCAGGGTTTTGGTGTGTAGTTGCTGTGAAATGCCTATGACGTTGCCAAGGTGTGCCAAGTGGTTGTGGGTGGTTGCCAAGGTGTTGCTAGGGTGATCTAGGTGATTGTTATGACATTGCTATCCCGTTGTTCTGACTGGCTACTATGGCATTGTTCTGCAGTTACTAGGGTGCTCTGGGTGGTTGCTAGGGGGTTGCCATGAGGATGATCTGGGTGGTCGCTAATATGGGCTATGTGGTTGCAAGGGTGTTCTGGGAAGTTGATCCGGCAACTGTGCAACAGTCGGGTTCTGGGTGTGATAACTCCATTCATGTTCTCTGAAGGGAAATTGATTTGGAACGATAACTTTAAACAATAACTCCTTAATCACAGATCTACTGTGAGCTACAAAGTTGTTAATCAATGGTATTTCCTGAAACATTTCAGCTTATTTTTTTATTTAAAATAATCATGCGCAACAGCAGAATTTCTGTTGTAAAACTGCATTACCCATGATGCTCTTCAGAAGATTACATCAATCAGAGAGTCGAAACAAGCGATACCTGCCAAAAGATCTCCACCCACTCCCATGAAGCATTGCAAATGATGTCATCAACTTTGTCTGCACTCTCAAAATACTGAAATGTTAGTATGGATATTTTTCAATTAACAAAGTATTTGTTATTTTTATAAATATACAGTACATATATATATATATATATATATATATATATATATATATATATATATATATATATATATATGTAACCCCGCCATTTTGAAATAGTTTGGCCAGAGATAGTCACTAAACTTGCTACGTGGTCAAACGAGGAGGTGCAGACTTTCCTTTGTTTGGTTGTCGAATAGAGGATCCAGTGAGAGTTTGAGGAACGAAAGGCGTCGCTATGACGGCCGGGTACTATTTGTGGCGGTACTGTCTGCAATGGAAAACGGAGCGAAAAGCGAGTCGAGTTGGGTCGAGCTGGTACTAGTAATGGAAAAGCGCCATTAGTTGATCCTGGTACAACATTTCAGTCAATCAATTAGATTTGAGGGACAAGTTTACGGTTTACGTCAAGCTTAGGATTACCACCAGGGTTATGTGCTTCTAGATCAGTGTTATTCACCGATCATTTCCTTATGATTTTAGGCATATGGGCAGGGTTAGGTTTAGGGGTAGGGATAGGGTTAGGACTATATTTTTGGCACAGGAATGTTGTGCCAGGATCAACAAAATATGAAACAAAAAACAAACAAAAAAGGCTATCGGCTAAATCGTTACAATCAGGACATGCGGTAACTTGGTCAGGAGCTTGTTTCCAGCAATTGAACATGTTGAATCAGAATTAGACTGAGAAGTGATGAGCTATGATCTGGTGACTCTTGGCATTGGTCTGTGTTTGTCGGTGCAGTGTGAATTGGCCTCTAGGGATATGTGGTAGCTAGGGTGTTGTAGGTAGAACCAGACAGCAAAATAATGTTGGCCCAAATTCGGCCCACATCTGGTAAATGTGGAATCCATGGGCCGACACGATGGTTTCTGGGTCACTAGGCTGTTTTCTAATGCATTGCTATGGGTGTTATTGTTGACTTATAGGTGGTTGCCAGGGTGTTGCTAGGTGGTTGACGTGGTTGCTAAGGTATTCTAGGTGGTTTCTGAGGTGTTTTCCGAAACACTTAAAGGAGTAGTTCACTTTTAAAAAAAACTTTTGCTGATAATTTACTCACCCCCATGTCATCCAAGATATCCACGTCTTTCTTTCTTCAGTCGAAAAGAAATTAAGATTTTTGATGAAAACATTCCAGGATTTTCTCCATATAATGGACTTCATTGGGAACCAACCGGTTCAAGGTCCAAATGAGAGTTTCAGTGCAGCTTCAAAGGACTTTAAACGACACCAGATGATGAATAAGGGTCTCATCGAGGACCCTTCGAGTCATGACTCGAAAAAAGATTCGTTTATTTTGATGAACGAGTTTGAAAAGGAGAGTCACAAACGTGCGTCACAGAACAGAGCAAGGCGAGCGTTTGTGCTTATAAAACTTAAAGTTGTGTATTTAATTTTTAAATGAGCGATTGTTTCGCTTGGCAAGACCCTTATTCATCATCTGAAATCGTTTAAAGCCCTTTGAACAGTTTGCACTGAAACTGTCTTTTGGACCTTGAACCGTTTGGTCCCCATTGAAGTCCATTATATGGAGAAAATCCTGGAATGTTTTCATCAAAAACCTTAATTTCTTTTCGACTGAAGAAAAAATGACATAGACATCTTGGATGACATGGGGGTGAGTAAATTATCAGCAAAAGTTTTTTTTTTTTTAAGTGAGTATTTCCAATAACCAAACATGATTTGTTATATTCAATAGCATGTTGAATGATGCACTGGTTGCACTGTTGTCTAATTAATTTGATTTGTACCTTTTAAGAAGCGGGACACATCCTCAAGCTGAGGGATGTTATCGGGACTGTAGCCACAGTGTTTCTCCAGCAACTGGAAAGCCTCTAAGTGTTCACTACAGGCGTGGGTCGTGTACAGGTCTCTGAGGGTGGAGTACACTTCTCGCCTGCACACACATTTGGTTGCATGTGAGAAAATTGAACTAATTTGTTCATCAAGGATAGGTTGTTTATTTCAGCGCAACGCACCATGTTCCGATCTCCTCTTCCGTATACTCAACTCTAGGAATCGAATCTCCACTGGAAAGAGACAAGTGTCAGTCAAATATCTGCGCCTACATGTCCAGAGAGGCAAACATAAACACTGTTGCAACATACTGTCTATATTTAAAAGCAATGTCTCCAATCATCTTTCGTCGTTTCCTGTAAACAGGGTCAGTGAATCCCTGCAAAGACATAAAAAAACGCATATAAGAAATTTGGGTAATCGAATGTAGTTATATATTGGAGGAACCATTCCAACACTTACTGGATGATCCTGATCCAGATCGGGATCATATTTGGTGACAAGATGATGGCATCTATCCAATTCAGCGATTTTTCTGGGAAACCAATGAACTGAAGAAAGACAAAAGTACTAAGCGTAAATGAGATTCAAAGAAGGAAAAGAAAAACATGGCAACCATAGGAACGTACATTTGACCTCTTTTGTGGTTTTGACGTCCTCTGCGCTTCTCTTCAGAGAGCTGACCAGCGTGCTGACGTCCGACAGGTGCACCTCACACTGCACATAATACTCCAGATCCTCCAAGCCGTCCTTTGGTTTTCGGCTGGGTCTGGTCTCAAGATGGTGGATCTTGGCTTCGAATGTCTGTGGTGTTCAGTAGTTGAACATTGCAATAAAATCCCAAAGAAAATACGGGAAATGAATGTGGCGCATATTCTTAATCTGGTGAACTGTCAAATGTACAATAAATGAAAACGATGACCAATTCTCACCATAGTTGCTTATTAGCTTGCATATCACTAAATGAATACGACTGAATATGTTAAAATCTAATCAATAAAATTGAGGCAACAGATTACAATCAACATTATTAATTAAATTTAACAAACTCGAATTGAGTAATAATTAACCAAATTAATTACTTAAAAGTTAACCATTTAAAATGAGTAGAATTTACACATTTTTTAACAAAATATCGGGAAAACAGACTGACGTCAAAGACTGCCATCATTGAAGACGCCTTCAAGCAGAATCACTGAAGGAGAAAACCGTCATTTTTAAGTCACCATTATGGAGATCAGTGTGTGTTTTAGTTGGGCTCTTGACCCTTAAATCATTAACTTTAGATGTTGTTTGGCTGTTTTATGTGAATTATAACAGCCAGATGAACAAATAAATGATCCGTGTTGGTTGTTTTAACATAATCATTGTCAGTAATTAATTTGGTTAATTTTTACTCAATTCTAATTTTTAATTAATAATACTGATTGTAATCTGTTTCAATTTTATTGATTAGATTTAACATATTCTATACCTTACCCTATATCTACTATTACTAACTAATAATAAGCAGAAATGAAGAGTTTGTTGAGGCAAAAGATGTATTTAATTTAAAAACTATTAATAACATTTGATTTTCAAATGAATTAGCATTTTAAATACATCTAAATAAATGTCATAATAAACATATTGATATATTCTTATGTGAATTATTATTACATATAAAATAATGTCATACATTAATAAGTAGAACCTTTAATTTGCAATATTTGTGCATTTTATTGTTGCTCAAGAATGAAGAAAAACAGCTTTAGATTAAATGTTAGACAAAGATTTGGGGTTTTCTATTCTTTTTGTAACTCATGTCAATGTATATTTTGATATTTAACCTTATTGATTAATAACTGATATTTAATATTTCAAAAGTACGTGAAAAAAATAGCTAAATTTGAAACATCATAATTTCAAATATAAAGGATCTAACGCGAGAATAAGAGAAGCCCTCAAATCGCTGTTTTTCAGGATCTTAAATGATCCACAGTGTATATTACAGTTAATTCGTAGCCATTACACTCTAAAAAACGCCAAATTTGGGTCAAATATGGACAAACCCAAATGTTGGGTTAAAAATGCAATCAAAAAATTTACAGTTGAAAGTAAAAGTTGAAGTTGGGTTAAAATTTGTAACCCCATATTTGGGTTTGTCCATATTTGACCCAAATTTGGATTCAAACAACCCTCCTTTTTTAGAGTGCACTCTATATTTTTAAAATAAAATCCCATCTGCCTTACCTCAAAAACCTTGAGAGTGCGGGACAGCGCTGGGCTCTTTGAATTCCTCAGAGAGAAGAAGAGACTGAGCAAGGCTTTTCCATCGCTCTCCTCAAACACGATCTGCTCGTTGAGTCCCGCAACCTCCGCCGCCGCCGCCGCAGCCTCGCGCTCCTTACGCGCATCCTCGATCAAACTCTGCCGCCTTCCCACAAACTTCTGAGACTGTTCGAAGACAACACCGCACATCATTAAAGACGACAAATTCATGTCTATTCATTTTTAGGATACACCTAATCCATAAATAATTACGTAGACCTGCTTACCTGTTGGACATCGGATGGAGGTGATTTACATCTCCAAACGCGCATAAGAACTTCAATGCAGTGTATGTAAACCTGCCATATAGCTCAGACTTAATCATTTGCACTTGAGCCACTGTTACAGCCACTCAAAGACTTCTTTTCAAATCGTTTGCGTTTACTAATAACCGCGTAATGCTGTGCGTAATTCTCAACGGAGATTCGTTTTACTCTCAGCAAAACGGTGTTGGTGCATCCACATATGACTCAATATGCCAGAAGAAGAAGTTAATTGTATTATGTCTTAATAAATTATTAATTAAGTTAATGAAATATATGAATTTGATTGCATCAGATAATAGCAAACTAACTGGCATCTGCAAACAAATGCTGGACTTTTTTTCTCTAACTTCTTAAATGCCACTCTGTAGGTTTTCTCACTTTTAAATTATATATATATATATATATATATATATATATATATTATATATATATATATATATATATATATATTATACAGTAATATGTGTGTAATACAATGTATAATTCCATTTATAAACATTAATCAATATTATTATTATTATTATTATTATTAACTGATAAATAAATGATCCTTGGTTTGGTATCTTGTTTTCGGATAAAATGAAATTCATACATTTTAAAAAGAGTCTTAAGTGTTACAATCTGCCCATCTCTATGAATTAATGTAATCGTAGAAAGTCCTTTTCAAGTCACATGAAGTTTAATGCGTAAACGCATCTCGGTTTTATAACAAAGATTGACGAGGAGGAAATGTCAAATTATTTTTGCTTTCTTGTCCTTCATTCTCAAGCTATATAAGAGGAGCGCACACTAAAGTTAAAGGTTCTCACCGTGATAGAGTCCGAGCGCTCGAGTTCAGACGCAGCTCTCCGGATGCTCTTCGTGGAAGATGTGGAGCCGCTTGAATTCGGCATATTCAGATGACGCGCGGACGGGACAGATGAGGGTATCTTATTTTGCTCTCTTGGGAGTGCTCACTTACTTCCATCTGCAGCTTTCTTTGCTCTTTATTTATAGAGATAATTTCTCTTGACTGACGTCAAACTGACCCCCTCCTTCTCCGTCAATGATCATCTTGAAGCCCCTCACAACACGTTCATTGATAATTTGATTCTTTGCTACGTAACTGTGTTTCATTTACATTTGTCACTTGTTAGTGTCACTTGTTAGTTACGATCAACATTATTAATTAAACTTAACAAATTAGAATTTAGTAATAATTAACCAAATTAATTACTTAAAAGTTAACCATTTAATATATATATATATATATATATATATATATTGTAACACAGTCTCATCCCAAGACGTCATATTATAACTGACGTCTTGGGGCGTATTTTGACCATACGTCAATATCCGCCTTTTTAGGGCCCCCTTAAACGTCGGTAGATGGCGATCCCGGGCCGTCATACAACTGACGCTTTACCTTTAACGTCAGTTAGGTGACGGGTTAGGTTTAGGGTTAGGTTTGGGGTAGAGTTAGGATCCCATAACCTCATCTACCGACGTTTAAGGGGGCCCTAAAAAGGCGAATATTGACGTATGGTCAAAAGACGTCCCAAAACGTCAGTTATATGACGTCTTGGGATATATATATATATATATATATATATATATATATATATATATATCGGAAAAACAGACACTGTAAAAATTAGTATGACTGAATATTAAATCTAATCAATAAAATTGAGGCAACAGATTACAATCAATGTCATTAATTAAAAATTAGTATTGAGTAAAAATTTACCAAATTAATTACTGACATAATGATCATGTTAAAACACAACCAACACCATCAGATCATCTATTTGTTCTGGCTGTCAATTCACGTATAACAGGCAAACAACATCTAAAGTTAATGATTTAAGGGTCAAGAGCCCAAAACGCAAACTGATCACCATAATGGTGACTTAAAAATTACAGTTTCCTCCTTCAGTGACTCTGCTTGTTATCATAAGGCGTCTAATTATTACTCAATTCTAATTTGTTAAATTTAATTAATAATGTTGATTGTAATCTGTTGCCTCAATTTTATTGGTTAGATTTAACATATTCAGTCGTATTCATTTTTCCAGTGCATGCTAAATAATATCAGTGATGCTTGATGCTAAATAATGGAATTTGTTTTTCTAATTCAAATAAAACCCGGTAATTTAGATATTACCATTTTTAGGTTTATAATTTGTTTTGAGTTTAAAAAAAAAAATCTAATGACAAAAATGTCTGTTTGCTTGAAGGAGTTTTGTAGTAAGTAATTTTATAGAATTTATTCATATTCTTTTCATACAATTTTCTTTTCTTTTTTGTCTAAATTGTGCTGAAAAGCATATAATATCATTGGAATGAAGGTACATAAAATATCTTAAATTTGTTAATGTGATTTTTAATTAATTTACAGCGTATAAAACAAAAAAATTGTTTTGTGACGTTTATACCAATTTGGTATAAACGTCACAAAACAATTTTTTGCTAATAACTCTACCACAATCCAGTTTTACTAAAGCCTTGGTTTAATGTTCCCCTTTTTTTAAATCGTGCTCATGCTCTTCTGTAGGTCTAGAGACTTGGCATTTAAGATTTGTAATCTAAAGTGACTTATAAGGCACCAACTGCAATGACAGTCAGCCTAGAGCAAGCTGTGGTCAAGGGCATGATGATGATAGAACAGGACTTGGTACTTTGGATTGAACCTCCAACCTATGTTTTAGCAGCCCAGACCCTCAAACATTATCCAGTCACCCTGAGGGTCTAACATTTATGTTAAATGACATAAGCCAGAGCTGGACTGGGCTACTTTAAAATGTATACCCTGCTGAATTCAAATCAGTTTGCAACTTAGATTTAAAAAAAAAAAAAAGAAAAAAAATATATATATATACACTTCAGATATCCCAGAGATTAATTTATAGTGTCAGCCGGATATGGGCCGGATCTGGGCCAACAGTATGTTGCTGTCTGGGATATCTCATAAAGGATTTTTTAGCAAGATATCTTTCTAAAAAATGTGCCGTTTTAAAAAAAAACACACTTCTAATGCACCATACAACAATCAAGTAACGTGCCTGGCACGTAATAAAACAACAAAAGAAAACAAAAGTCAACTGTGGTAAATTGAGTCACTTTATCAGCTCAACCGAAAATCCATTGTCATTTTCCTCAGCAGATGTAATTGCGATTAAAAACTGCCAGTTGTTTTCTGTCTTCTACCTGAGCATCAAGTGATCCCTCCAGCCGTGAACAGTTTGATGTGTAAATGGATTAAAGTCATGAAGCACCGAGCCCTGCGGTCCGGATTACCAGCAGTTTCAGCCTCGGATGCAGCAACAGCTGGAAAAGCGCTCGGTCACAGGGGGGTTGTGTCTCTAGTAGGATAAGATGAAATGCTAAAGAGTACTTGTCTATACCCTCGGGGCTCTGTGCCGAAAGAGTGTCCTTTACTGGGCAGGGCGGAGGACAGGAAAAGATAACGCTCAGTGACATTAAACGAAAGCACACAGATTTTCTGGATTGTTCACAATCAGTTTGAGTATGAAATGCTGAACTTATGTTTCTCTGATCTCTCCATGGAAGGCACTGGATAGAGATTTGGATAACAGCTCTTAAGTGTTTTCTGTTTTCAAATTGTGGCTTCAAAAAGTGACTTAAGTCACTTAATAAGTTAGTTCTGGACCTTGAATCTGTCAAACATCACTGTTCGTTCAAGTTCTGTTATGTTCCCTTATGGAACAAAAATATATTGCAGTATATTGGAATATACCATGTGATATTAGGCAATATATTAGCATATAGGATTTAATTATATTGTCCAATATATTGCAATATATGCATAGTCCATATATTTATATATATTGATACATATATTGCAATCAAGACCAAAATAGTCACTATATATTTTTTACATATAGTTTGTTTTTAAAGTTTGCCTTTATATGCTTTAATATATGTGCTATATATATATATATATATGTGTGTGTGTGTGTGTGTGTGTGTACAGTATATATACATATATGTATGAAATTATATGGAAATATATAAATAAAATTTATATGTGTTCAATTTATTGTGGAATATATTTTAAATATATTTAAAATTGTATAGAAATATATAAATAGAATGTACGTAAAGTAATGTGTTCAATATATTGTAGAATATATTATTATATGGAAATATATAAATAAAATATATGTATAGATATGTGTTCCATGTGTTGGAATATATTTTAAATATATTTAAAATTACATGGAAATATATAAATAAAATATAGCAGACAATATATTGCAGACAATCTCAGAGATTTGTATATACACACTACTGGTATTCAAAAATCCAAATTTTTAGATCATTAAGATTTTTTATGTTTTTAAATGAAGTCTATTCTGCTCACCAAGGTTGCTTTATTTGATGGGAAAAAAATGACAAACAGTAATATTGTGAAATATTATGACAATTTAAAATAAAAATTCTATTTTAATATATTTTAAAATGTAATTTGAAAGCTGAATTTTCAACATAATTACTGTTGCTGATTACACATCAGTTTTCAGAAATCATTCTAATATGCTGATTTTATGCTCAAAAAACATAAATTATTATTTTCAATTTTGAAAACAGTCGTGTACCATTTTTACCCTAAAATTCTATGATGAATAGAAAGTTCAAAAGAACAGCATTTATTTCAAATATAATATTTTCTAACATTATAAATGTATTTACTGTAACTTTTGATCAATTTAACTCATCCTTGATGAATAAAAGTATTTTCTAATTGCTTTCCTCAAAAAAATAAAAAATAAATTCTTACTGACCCCAAACTTTTGAATGGTAGTGATTAATGTTAGAAAAGCTTTCTTTTTCAGATCAATTCTGTTCTTTTGAACTTTCTATTCATCAAAGAATCCTGAAATAAAAATGTAAAAAACTGTTTTCAACATGGAAATAATCATAAATGTTTCTTGAGCATCATATTATAATAATTTCTGTAGGATCATGTGACACTGAAGACTGGAGTAATGATGCTGTAAATTCAGCTTTGATCACAGGAATAAATTACACTTCACTAGATATTCACATAGAAAACCGCTGTTTTAATTTGTAATAATATTTCACAATATTACTGTTTTTTTTTTTTTTTGTCTTTTTGTATTTTTTATCAAATAATTGCAGCCTTGGTGAGCAGAAGAGGCTTATTTTAAACACACACACACACACACACACACACACACACATATATATATATATATATATTGTATATACTGTGTATATATATACATGGGCCATATATGATATGACATGCATGGCTATTTAGCTCAATTATTAATTTAATAATTTACAAATAATTACTGCAACTGCATTACACAAATATGTTTTATTGAAACATATATGCTTTTCCACAGTTCCCTAAGGTCCTTGAAAGTTTGTATATTATTTATTTATTCCTTATTATTTGTGCATTTTGTTTACATATATTTTATTTATATTTTATAAGAGCACTGCTGAAAGATTGAAATAGACATTGGTCATTGAAATTCCTTTAATTTATAATGTTTATTTTCTGTTCAATTGCACTCTTTAAAAATGTTGCACGGTTAATAAATGTAGTCATTGTTCTATCCTGAGTTCCCCGTTCCTGTTCTGAGTGTTCTGTCGTTTACCCTGGTTTACCTGTTTGTTTGTTTGTTTGTTTGTTTGTTTGTTTGTTTGTTTGATTGTTTGTTTGTTAAAGTGCTTGCAATTGAATTCAATCTCTGCTTCATTCCTGCCTGCATCGTTACAGAATGTGCATGTTCTCAATATATATTGATATATGTACAATACATGTACATATTTCGATATAAACAATGTACTGTACATGTATTTCAATATAATTTTACATATATTTAAAATATATTCCACAATATATTGAACACATATCTATCTATCTATCTATCTATATATATATATATATATATATATATATGAAGAGTTCAGATGCAAAAGCCTCTAAGTGCCATTTGAAATT